TGGTAATAATTCGTGCAGGAAGTTCAGCTTATTATACAAACAAGAAAAGAAAGCTAACTTCGGGCGGAGCCGAAGTTGAAATACCCTTGCAGAATATTCTGTAAATTATATTTTCCAAAATTATTCATATGATGCATCCTTAGCACTCATAAAAATCCCAACTTCCTAACTTTAAAAACACTAAAGTTATGGCATTTCCGATCAATCAGTTATATGTCAGCTATTGAATATAGTCGACCGATCCTTATGAATTTTGGTAGGTCGGATTGATTGGCCAAATATAAAACCCATAAGGAATCCTAACTTCCTTACTTTACAAACACCAAAGTTATGGCATTTCCGATCAATCAGTTATATGGCGGCTATAGGATATAGTCGGCCGATCCTTATGAAATTTGTTAGGTCGTATTGATTGGCCAAAGTAAAACCCATAGAAAATTCCAATTTCCCAATTTTACAAACACCAAAGTTATGGCATTTCCGAACATTCAGTTATATGGCGGCTAGCGGATATAGTCGGCCGATCCCGGTCGGCCGATCCTTATGAAATTTGGTAGGTTTGGATTTCGGTGTTTTTAGGATGTTGGGATTTTTTATGAGTATTAAGAATGCACCATATAAATAATTTTGGAAAAATATAATTTACAGAATATTCTGCAAGGGTATATCAACTTCGGCTCCGCCCGAAGTTAGCTAACCTTTCTTGTTTAAAATGTCATCAAAACATTGATGATTGTTAAGGTCCTTATGGTCTTAATATCGATCCTTATTTTTGGTTTTTTACTGGGGTTTTCCACACATAAAGTTATTAACAAAATTGTGGGTCTGTTTATATTAATAGTTTTTAGCTTTCTTTACTTAAAAATCAGAAATTTAATTGCAGAGTAAAGAGGAGAAGTTAGCACTGTAATTTAAAATTTACTGAAGTAATTGTAAACCGCGCAGTGATGTATGTTAAATGAAGTGTGACAGAGCCCTTTTTTTCGCAGCATGTTTGTCATTAGTTCTTTTATCACCAATCTTAAAATGTGGCGCGGTCTCTTTGTTTTTCGAGAAATGGTCCAAATTGGCTATGTACCCTTTGCAAAGCGTACTATAACTTAGGCATAGATATTGCTGCCACGAGAAGCTAACTTCGGGCGGAGCAGAAGTTGATATACCCTTGTAGAATATTCTGTAAATTATATTCTCTAAAATTATTCATATGATGCATTCCTAATACTCATAAAAAATCTTAATTTCCTAACTTAAAAACACCAAAGTTATGGCATTTCCGATCAATCAGATATATAGCGGCTATTGGATATAGTCGGCCGATCCTTATGAAATTTGGTAGGTCTGATTAATTGTCCAAATATAAAGTCCATAAAAAACCGCAACTTTATAGGTCGAATTGATTGGTCAAAAATAAAACACATAGAAAATCCCAATTTCCTAACTTTTCAGACAGACGGGCATGCTTATATCAACTCAGGACGCGATCCTGATCAAGAATATATATACTTTATACAGTGGCGGATCCAGGGTTGCTGGCGCCCGGGGCAAAGCGAAAAATTCCGCCCCCTCCCTATTTGTTGTACGAATAATATTAGGAGTATTTTAAGTGTAAATAGGTTATTAATTATTAAAAGCTCATATGTTTGAAGAATTGTATTTCATATCGATTCTTTTGTCAGTTACAACGGAAAAAAAAATTATTATTTTTGTCTTTGCAAGACAAAAAAAATATTACTTTTAGAATATAACTTTTCTGGCCTTGATTGCCGCAAATTCAGCAATAATATCATTGTAGTCGAGCGATGCTGCTACTTCATTTTCGATAGATAGTATAGCTAAATTTGAAAGACTGTCTTGGTTTATGGTTGTGCGGAGATAAGATTTTATCAATTTCAGTTTACTGAATGATCGGTCACACGAAGCCACGGACAATGGCAGAGTCAGCAAAATTTTCAATGCCGTCACAAGTGTTTTGTACGCCTCTAACCCCAACGATGAAATATACAATAGTATTCCTTTTGGAGTGAGATCAAGACTTTCTCCCTTTTTATTGGCCCTTTTCAGAAGAAAAACAAGAGAGAACGCTATAGTCGGGTGCCCCGACTATCAGATACCCGTTACTCAGGTAAAGGGAGTGCGAGGGAGATGGAGATAGAAACTTTGATCACGCATAACTTTTTAACGAATGGTCCGATTTGAAAAATTTCTTCTACATTTCGATAGGTATTGATAAACACAATAAAACTGCATTTTTACTTTTCCGAAATATTTAAATTTTTAAAATCGTATATAAGCGATTGTGGGCGTTAAAGGGGGCGTGGCACCATTTTGAAATAAACTTGCGCTGCGTAGGAACTTCTTAAATCTACATGCAAAATGTCAATCTTCTAGCTTTTATAGTTTCCGAGATCTCAGCGTTCATACGGACAGACAGACAGACAGACGGACAGACAGACGGACAGACGGACATGGCTATATCAACTCAGGAGGAGATCCTGATCAAGAATATATATACTACCTGTTACATACTTTTGCACGAATACAATATACCCTTTTACTCTACGAGTAACGGGTATAACTATTGGAAGTTAACGATAAATGCAAATCATTAGCTGAAATTTATTCTAATGATTAAAATGGTACGGAATTGTTTCACGATATCAAAGATGTAATTATACCCGTTACTCGTAGAGTAAAAGGGTATATTGTATTCGTGCAAAAGTATGTAACAGGTAGTATATATATTCTTGATCAGGATCTCCTCCTGAGTTGATATAGCCATGTCCGTCTGTCCGTCTGTCTGTCCGTCTGTCTGTCTGTCTGTCCGTATGAACGCTGAGATCTCGGAAACTATAAAAGCTAGAAGATTGGCATTTTGCATGTAGATTCTAGGAGTTCCTACGCAGCACAAGTTTGTTTCAAAAAGGGGCCACGCCCCCTTTAACGCCCACAATCGCTTATATACGATTTTAAAAATTTAAATATTTCGGAAAAGTAAAAATGCAGTTTTATTGTGTTTATCAATACCTATCGAAATGTAGAAGAAATTTTTCAAATCGGACCATTCCACACTGGTCCCAATGCCCAATATTTTTGCAAAAACCTATTTTTTTTTTAAAGTTATGAAAAAAAAAACATTTTATCTTCGTAGAATAATATACGTTGCATTTAAAAATCGCAATTTCGTTACTGAAATTGCAGCCCTGTTAAATTTGGTAGCCCTGAAAGTCAGCAGTTCGTTGATCAGAAATGTTGACTTTTTGGCGCGCTAAATAAAATCAACACTTTAAAGAAAGATTGCAAAAGTTCTACTTAACATTTTAAAACAAAGTAAAATGGAAAATATTAGTGGAGGTATGTAAAATTTAAATGTTTAATGCAATATTTGTTTAATGTGATTTGTCTTTGTGTATGTGTGCTTTTGTAGAGTTGTATTTTTAACAATTTTACCCTATCATTTTTCGTGTTTCTTGGAACAAAAGTATGTTGGATTGTGCCGGATTATAAAAACTATTAACGCAGTTTTGTTCTTGCATTTATTTACAATACGATGACATAAACCTTTTTTGCTCGTTTTTGCTCCATTTTCCAAAAAAAAAACTTTTTGCTAGACAACATAGACCTATGTTATGGAGAAATGCTAGAGTATTGGCTGGCACATGGGCGCGAAACCGAAAGCCTTTACAACTTTGTGTTGCAGCATCGAATTGGAAACTTAAAGCAAAACATAGATCCTTTGAAGAAGAGGATTAAGAACTTTGTTGCTTATGTGGATGCTGGAATAAAAAAATGCTCTTTTAATGATCTTTTAACACCACCAAATGTCGATTTCCTAAATAGTTCTCCTACTACAGATAATGATGATGAAGATGACTTGGATACCTTTGAATGTAAAGATACCTATTCCTTTGATTTAGATGTTGAAAGTGATTAAAAATTAATTAAGTAAATATATTATAATTTTTTAAGATGCATTATTTAGTTTGGAAGTTGAAAATTGGTAGGGCAGGAGGGGATAGAAGATTGAGGGGATATTTACTAAAGTTATTTTATATATATTTAAAATTTATTGGAAATATTGGCTATTGGCTTTACTAAAGATATTTTATATATATTTAAAATTTATTGGATATATTGGCCCAATTTTCGTGGATGTTTTGTAAATTTTTGTCCCGGGGTGCATTTCTATGGGGCGGAAAGGAAGGCGTGGCCCGATCGGCACAAAATTTTGTCCAGACTTCGCATATATAGTAACTATATAGTGTGCCAAGTTTCAAGTCTGTAGCATCATTTTTCTAGTTTATGCAAAAATATTGGTCATTGGGACCAGTGTGCATTCGTTAAAAAGTTATGCGTGATCAAAGTTTCTATCTCCATCTCCCTCGCACTCCCTTTACCTGAGTAACGGGTATCTGATAGTCGGGGCACCCGACTATAGCGTTCTCTCTTGTTTTCTATTCATAACTTCTTTATCGTCATCAAGATATTCTCGATCTAGCGCCCCTTAGATTTGGCGCCCGGGGCGCTTGTCCTTTGTTTCCTTTCTTGTTTTGTGTATAAGCTTTTACCGTGGCTTCACAGAGACTATTGTGGGCGTTAGAGTAGGAGTGGCATTTTTGATTAAGCTTGCGCTGGGTAGGTATTACCAGAATCTGCATGATAATTCGAAATCCCTAGCTCTAGTCTCCACAGATCTCCACACTCATACGGACAGACGGATAACATATATTCTTTATAGGGTCTTAATAACAAGAAAGCTAGGTCGATTTTCCGATAAATTTGATCTTTCTCATGGCAGCTATATGATACAGTATTATTTAAAATATAATTTAAACCGTTGTTATACATTTCTATTCTTTTATTATACGAGTGCGGAATACAACTATTACTTAAATAGGTTTAAACAGATTAACATTAAATTTATTTGCAACGGGATACTACTACTACGTTATATTCAAAAATAAGGATTTTAGCTAAAATTATTTGTTGTTTTCATTATACAGGTCATGGAGGCGTTAATCAACTTGGAGGCGTATTTGTTAACGGGCGCCCGCTGCCCGATGTCGTTCGTCAGCGTATTGTGGAGCTGGCGCACAATGGTGTCCGCCCATGTGACATCTCACGCCAGTTACGCGTGAGTCACGGTTGTGTGTCTAAGATACTATCAAGGTAATGAGGCACTTAAGATAAGACATTTTTAGAAGTATGTATGTTTTTACCAAAAACCCAAAGGATCAGTATATTCGAGATCCCCAGCTATGAGATACCTGTTTCTTACTTCGCAGAACGCTACCCGCAACAAAAAGTGTTGCACGTTAACGTAATATGAATGTACGTACAGTGGCTCGCAGCTTATTTCGTGCAGTTAGCAAATGAAAGTTTAAGTCGGTATTGCTGCTAAACTAAGAAAGATAGCAAAAAAAATGTAACTCATTTTTTAAACTAGGAGTATTAACACATTAAATAAAAAAAATCGATTTTCTTCTATAATATTATTTAACAAAAACAAAATGTGTAGGATTTTTTCATGCCGCAGCATTTCATGCAGTTAATTAAACTTAACTTTTTATACCCTTGCAGAGGATATTATAATTTCAGTCAAAAGTTTGCAACGCAGTGAAGGAGACATTTCCGACCCTATAAAGTATATATATTCTTGATCAGCATCACCAGGAGAGTCGATCTAGCCATGTCCGTCTGTGCGTCCGTCTGTCCGTCTGTCCGTCCGTCCGTTTCTACGCAAACTAGTCCCATAGTTTTAAAGCTATCTGCTTGAAACTTTCACAAAAGTTGTCTTTCTATTGCAGGTAGTATATAAGTCGGAACGAGCCGGATCGGGCCACTATATCATATAGCTGCCATATAACTGAACGATCGGAAAAGCCATAACTTTGGTGTTTTTAAAGTTAGGAAGTTGGGATTTATGGGTTTTATTTTTGGCTAATCAATCCGACCTACCAAATTTCATAAGGATCGGACGACTATATCCTATAGCTGCCATATAACTGATTGATCGGAAATGACATACCTTTGGTGTTTTTATACCCGTTACTCGTAGAGTAAAAGGGTATATTGTATTCGTGCAAAAGTATGTAACAGTTAGAAGGAAGCGTTTCCGACCCTATAAAGTATATATATTCTTGTTCAGGATCACTAGTCGAGTCGATCTAGCCATGTCCGTCTGTCCGTCTGTCTGTCTGTCTGTCTGTCCGTCTGTCCGTCCGTATGAACGCTGAGATCTCGGAAACTATAAAAGCTAGAAGATTGGCATTTTGCATGCAGATTCTAGGAGTTCCTACGCAGCGCAAGTTTGTTTCAAAAAGGTGCCACGCCCCCTTTAACGCCCACAATCGCTTAAATACGATTTTAAAAATTTAAATATTTCGGAAAAGTAAAAATGCAGTTTCATTGTGTTTATCAATACCTATCGAAATGTAGAAGAAATTTTTCAAATCGGACCATTCGTTAAAAAGTTATGCGTGATCAAAGTGTCTATCTCCATCTCCCTCGCACTCCCTTTACCCGAGTAACGGGTATCTGATAGTCGGGGCACCCGACTATAGCGTTCTCTCTTGTTAAAGTTAGGAAGTTGGGACTTTTTATGAGTATTAAGAATGCATCATATGAATAATTTTGGAGAATATAATTTATAGAATATTCTGCAAGGGTATATCAACTTCGGCTCCGCCCGAAGTTAGCTTTCCTTTCTTGTTGTTACTAATTTTACGGCTAATATTTTGTGTGTCCGCCTTTTTGGTTCAGAACACCTCAGAGACGATTTCCCATGGACGAAATTAATTTGTTGGTGGTCTCCACTGGAATTTTTCTTCATCCTTCAGAATGTATTATAATTGCAGTCAAAAGTTTTCTACGCAGTAAAGGATACATTTCCGACCTTATAAAGTGTATACATATATTATTGATCAGCATCACCAGGAGAGTCGATCTAGCCGTGTCTGTCTGTCCACCCGTCCGCCTGTCCTTCCGTTTCGACGCAAACTAGTCCCTCAATTTTGAAGCTATCTAACTATATCATATAGTTCCCATAGGAACTATCAGAAAACAATTTTTTAATGTATAACATTGTTTTTAATTTTTGTTTTGTTCTTTGGGATTTGGTAATATTTCAATACTATGTTATTACGGTTTTAATGAAATTTAAATATTTTATTTTGCTGTTTTTCTATTTATCAAAATATTTCGTTTAGATATACTAATTATTTACTATATCAGAATTACGCTTTTAGTTTTGTCAAAATCGGACAACAATATCATATAGCTGTCCTAGAAACAATGGCAAAATGCAGCGTCGTTTTGTAATAACTGCAAGGGTATATAAACTTCGGCTTGCCAAAGTTTGCTTCCTTACTTGTTAATTACTAAGATATCCTATGTTTTATTTTCAGATATTATGAGACTGGTAGCTTTAAGGCCGGTGTTATTGGCGGTTCCAAGCCAAAAGTTGCAACCCCACCGGTAGTGGATGCAATAGCCAATTATAAACGCGAAAACCCGACAATGTTTGCTTGGGAAATACGGGATAGGCTTTTGGCAGAAGCTATATGCTCTCAGGATAATGTTCCCAGTGTTTCTTCTATAAACCGGTAAGAAATATCTTATAAAATAATTAAAGTCCCAATCAAGCCCGAAACGCTAGCGTGGATTGCAACGGATATACGCACATCCGTTACGGGCTATGTTAGTGTTCCCAAGTTTGTTTGCTGTCATGCTGTTAACATCCGTATCCGTTTCCGCAAAAGTTAAACTCGGATAGAACCCAACATCATGGTGTACTATGACTTTATATTTTAGCGAACCTTTCATCTAATAAAAATATATAAGTAGTTTTTAGCGTTCATAATTGTGGCACAATGCTTGACACACGACCACAACAAAAGCCACTTTCCTCTCGACCTTCCGGTGTGGCTTTATTGCCGACAACATCATCGTAGAATCTTGCCCAGGCCACGTGGCAGTTCCGATGTCGACACTGCCCCACATTGCTTTTATTTACGCATTTCCTTTTTGACCATAATTTATGTTGGTAGCCTTCGGAGATGCCACCGAAAGCAGCTACAAAAAACCAGAAGCTTAAATGAAGTCTGCTTTAAATTAGACGCACCATGTTTTAGTTAGCAAATACTTCTATTGCATAATATACAATTTTTTATCAACTGTTTTAACCAATAAGCCATCTCTTAAATTTGCGCTGCATTTTGCCATCGTGTCTATGGGAGCTATATGATATTGTTGTCCGATTTTGACCAACTAGAAATGTTTTGATAAATAAACAAGAAAGGAAAGCTAACTTCGGGCGGAGCCGAAGTTGATATACCCTTGCAGAATACCCTGTAAATTATATTCTCCAAAATTATTCATATGATGCATTCTTAATACTCATAAAAAATCCCAACTTCCTAACTTTAAAAACACCAAAGTTATGGCATTTCCAATTGTTCAGTTATATGGCAGCTATAGGATATAGTCGGTCGATCCTTAAGAAATTTGGTAGGTCGGATTGACTAACCAAAAATCGGACCATTCGTTAAAAAGTTATGCGTGATCAAAGTTTCTATCTCCATCTCCCTCGCACTCCCTTTACCTGAGTAAAGGGTATCTGATAGTCGGGGCACCCGACTATAGCGTTCTCTCTTGTTTTGTTTTAAGTTTAAACAATAAAGTCCCAATGTTCCTAGGCAGCTACATGATACAGTCTTCCGAATTTTATAAAAGTAAAACATACTAGTATCGGAGTATAATTATAAAAGTTAAGAAACAACGAAGATTTCATTTTATTTCCCTTTTTTCCGATTTTTCCTTTGGGAGCTTAATGATGTAGTAGGGCGATCCACCCCGATCCTACTTATGTACTACCTGCAAACAAAAAGAAGAAAAAGTTTCAGGACTGCAGGACTAGTTTGCATAAAAACAGGTGTCAGATGGAAGGACAGACGGACGGACGGGCAGACGGACGGACAGACAGACAGTCAGACGGATCGACTCGCTTGGTGATGCTGATCAAGAATATATATATATATGATATAAAGATCACTGTATTTCAAACTTTTGACTGAAATTATAACACCCTCTGCAAGGATATAACAATTAGTGGACTTGCATGGACAAATTGTATCTCATCAGTGTGTTCAGTTGATAGAGAAAGTCAGAAATATTCTTTATATTTAATGCTTATCAATAAAACAATTCTGCGACAGATTTTTAACTTTATTTGAACTCGCAAAATGCTGTTCGGTAAATCTCTTCTTACCTTCTGTGTTGGTCGAATTGCGACGGTTGAGAATGCCAGAGAATAAGTCGAACACTAATAATAATCCTCAGATTAAAGTGATTTAAATGACGAACTGCACTTGATTACCCCACTTTTCCATTTACATTGAGCTTATAGCTAAAAAAAATTAAAAAAGAATTGGAGTTTTCAACCGCACCCGACACGTGCAACCATTCTTAATCGATTCGATTCGTATTACCACTACGCCTGCATTACTTAACCAACGCCAAAGCTGACATGTGACCGATGATAATGCAAAAGTCGCGGCGAACAGGGGTAATTCCTGGTATAATCAGCAAGAACATTTCATAATGCGACAATGTGTGATGTGATGGCACTTGAGCGATGATTAGGGTGGTGATTCAATCGAATCAAAATTGTGCGTACAACGGTGGCAGGACTCCCCTTAAACTGATTCCCAGGAGACTAACACTTAATAAAGTGACTTTCATAGCACTCAACCAATTTTAGTTTTCAGCCCTTCGCTCAAATACGGCCAAATGTATCTACATATGTATACAGAGCATGCAGCGGGTTGTACTTTTCTCACATCCCAAACATATGTCTCAATTGTGTGCACTGTCCAAATATCCAATTGCTCATCCCGTCTCCAAAACGATACTAACAAAATAGAAAATCTGAGACTGTTGTCATCAGGGCATTTTTTGGTTAGAATTGACTTCTGTTTTTTCAACCCTCTGTAGCATATGGTTCGCCTAACAATCCAAAAAGTAACCTGTCAAATGTGCTTACATCTTGCCGTGCATTAAGCCGGCCAATTCAAACGAGTATATTGAATAAATCGGTGCCTTATTATTTGAACACGAATTTTCATATTTTAGTAGCTCCCAAAGCTTATAACACTCGCTCCAACAATTTCCTTTTTCCAAGGGCATGCAGAGGGTATTATAATTTCAGTCAACAGTTTTTCTATTTATAAAAAAATATATCTTTGAGATATAGTAATTATTTATAGTATAGAGAGTATTATTTTTAAATTCCCTAGTTCGAAATAAAAGCTGCATTATCCTGACTAAATAATTTGAATGTATGGAATACCGAACGAGTCTGCGACTAGCGGTCTTCTGTTCGATTTTTGCTTTCGTACATGAATATGATTTACAAACGTGACCGGCGCAAACTTTAAAAGAAAACCATAGGATACGTTTTAGATCGCACACAAGTTAAATAAAAAGCATATGCTAGTATTCCTTATTTGGGGCAGCAATTTTATTAATCTACAGGAATCAAGAAAAACAATGGAATTTATTGTAGATTGATCGTTAAATAAACTATATATGGCGATTGCGAAGGCGGGACGCCTGATCATCGGGATATACATATATTTATTGTATAATAACATATATTATATAATACTTCTAGAGTGGAGGTCCGACCAATAATTTTCTGATCAAAATAAAACTTCTTTCTTGAGTTTTTTTTTTGCTTGAACCAAAACTCCAACTCAATTTTTTTTTACTTGCAGGTATTATAATTTCAGTCAAAAGTTTGCAACCCAATAAAGAAAATATAAACAAGAAAGGAAAGCTAACTTCGGGCGGAGCCGAAGTTGATATACCCTTGCAGAATACTCTGTAAATTATATTCTCCAAAATTATTCATATGATGCATTCTTAATACTCATAAAAAATCCCAACTTCCTAACTTTAAAAACACCAAAGTTATGGCATTTCCAATCATTCAGTTATGTATATGGCAGCTATAGAATATAGTCGGCCGATCCTTATGAAATTTAATATGTCGGATTGATTGGGCAAAAATAAAACCCATAGAAAATCCCAACTTCCTAACTTAACAAACACCAAAGTTATGGCATTTCCGATCAATCAGTTAAATGGCAGCTATAAGATATAGTCGGCCGATCCTTATGAAATTTGGTAGGTCGGATTAATTGGCCAAATATAAAACCCATAGAAAATCCCAACTTTCCAACTTTACAAACACCAAAGTTATGGCATTTCCGATCAATCAGTTATATAGCAGCTATAGGATATAGTCGGCCGATCCTTATGAAATTTGGTATGTCGGATTGATTGGCCAAATATAATACCCATAGAGAGTCCCAACTTCCTAACTTAACAAACAGCAGAGTTATGGCATTTCCGATCAATCAGTTATATGGCAGCTATAGGATATAGTCGGCCGATCCCGGCCGTTCCGACTTATATACTGCGTGCAAAGAAAAGAAGGGTGTGTGCAAAGTTTCAATTCGATATCTTTAAAACTGAGAGACTAGTTCGCGTAGAAACAGACAGACGGACAGACAGACGGACAGACAGACGGACAGACGGACAGACGGACATGGCTATATCAACTCAGGAGGTGATCCTGATCAAGAATATATATACTTTATAGGGTCGGAGATGTCTCCTTCACTGCGTTGCACACTTTTGACCAAAATTATAATACCCTCTGCAAGGGTATAAAAAGTATAAAATATAAAAAGTATATATATTCTTAATCAGCATCACCAGGATAGTCGATCTAGCCATGTCCGTCCGTCCGTCCGTCCGTTTCCCAAAAGTTGTATTTCTATTGCAGGTAGTATAAAAGTCGAAACGAGCTGGATCGGGCGACTATATCATATAGCTCCCATAGAAAAATCAAAAAAATAAAAATGATTATTTTGGTGATTTTCTATTTATCAAAATATTCTTTTGAGATTTAGTAAATTTTACTATTTCAGAATTACGCTTTTAGTTTTGTCAAAATTGGACATCAATATCATATAACTCTCAGAGAAACGATGGCAAAATGCAGCGACAAATCGACATAGCTTCATTGTTTTTAGTAATATAGGCATAGAAATCGAAATGTAGTCGTTTTGTAATAACTCCAAAAAATTATTATCGATTTTAATATGTTTCAAATGTTTAAATTTCAGAATTGTAAGGAATAAGGCCGCCGAGAAAGCCAAACATGTCCATCATCATCAGCAGCATCATGTGCCACAAAGTCTTGGTGGGGGACATATTGCTACAGAAAGTCTTGATAGCAGCACAGGAACGAACAGCGAACAACCACAGGCACCTAGCGGAGGAACTAGCAATAGCAGCGCTAATTCCGCAAACATTATTGCTTCTGCGGCGGCGATTGCACACGCATCTTTACCGACGTCAGGCACTGATTCTGTCCAAGTTCCAGTCGCTCAAGTCAACGCGAACAGCACTGATACCAACAATGGAAATATCAACTCAACGACTGAACAACGAACGACTGGATATAGTATAAATGGAATTTTAGGTATACAACATGGACACCATTCTCATAACAACAACAATAACAGCAGTAGCGTCAACAATAACAACAATACAGATCCCAATTGCAAACGCAAAAGAAACGAATCTCATGGTAAGTTTTTCTAATTATTGCGGATCCAAATTTTCAATATTTCAAAATGTAGAGCTCTTTCCTAGTAGAATCGATCTAGTTTACGTTTCAATATTTCGCTTTCCTTTATAGCGAAGTCATATTGTACAAAGTGGAGATTTAAGAATATTAATTAATGGTTTTTATACCCTTGCAGAGGGTATTATAATTTTGGTCAAAAGTGTGCAACGCAGTGAAGGAGACATCTCCGACCCTATAAAGTATATATATTCTTGATCAGGATCACCTCCTGAGTTGATATAGCCATGTCCGTCTGTCCGTCTGTCCGTCTGTCTGTTTCTACGCAAACTAGTCTCTCAGTTTTAAAGCTATCGAACTGAAACTTTGCACACACCCTTCTTTCCTTTGCACGCAGTATATATGTCGGAACGGCCGGGATCGGCCGACTATAACCTATAGATGCCATATAACTGAACGATTGGAAATGCCATAACTTTGGTGTTTTTAAAGTTAGGAAGTTGGGATTTTTTTTTGAGTATTAAGAATGCATCATATGAATAATTTTGGAGAATAAAATGTACATAACATTCTGCAAGGGTATATCAACTTCGGCTCCGCCCGAAGTTAGCTTTCCTTTCTTGTTAAGTTAGGAAGTTGGGATTTTTTATGAGTATTAAGAATGCATCAATGAATAATTTTGGAGAATATAATGTACATAATATTCTGCAAGGGTATATCAACTTCGGCTCCGCCCGAAGTTAGCTTTCCTTTCTTGTTACTTATATGCAATTGTGTATAAAAAGGCAAAACTGCTAAAGGTAATAATGAAACTTGTTATGAGGTGAATATAAACAAGAAAGGAAAGCTAATTTCGGGCGGAGCCGAAATTTGGTCGGATTGGTTGGCCAAAAATAAAACCCATAGAAAATCCCAACTTCATAACTTTACAAACACCAAAGTTATGGTATTCCCGATGAATCAGTTATATGGCGGCTATAGGATATAGTCGTCCGATCCTTATGAAATTCGGTAGGTCGGATTGATTGGCCAAAAATAAAACACATAAAATATCCAAGCTTCCTAACTTTAAAAACACCAAAGTTATGGCTTTTCCGATCGTTCAGTTATATGGCAGCTATTTGAAATAGTCGCCCGATCCGGCTCGTTCCGACTTATATAGTACCTGCAATAGAAAGACAACTTTTGGGAAAGTTTCAAGCAGATAGCTTTCAAACTGAGGGACTAGTTTGCGTAGAAACGGACAGACGGACATGGCTAGGTCGACTCTCCTGGTGATGCTGATCAAGAATATAGGGTCGGAAATGTCTCCTTCACTGCGTTGCAAACTTTTGACTGAAATTATAATACCCTCTGCAAGGGTATAAAAATAACATTTCTTACAGTATATAATTAATATTTTAATTGTGGGCGATAAGTTTCTGTAAGGTTTTTTTTGGAATTTATTAATTCCGCTACAATATATGTTTGGAAAAAGTCTGGGGAATTATAAGGTATTTGTCCCGACCGTGACCCGTTTTAAAAACTAGAAATGTATTTAAATTGTAGTATGTTCATTATGAATCCAATTCCAGTCAGTTTATTAATATTTCTGAAACCCAACGCAGAAACATATTAGATAGATTTTAATCAAAAACAAGAGAGAACGCTATAGTCGGGTGCCCCGATTATCAGATACCCGTTACTCAGGTAAAGGGAGTGCGAGGGAGATGGAGATAGATAGATTTCGATAGGTATTGATAAACACAATAAAACTGCATTTTTACTTTTCCGAAATATTTAAATTTTTAAAATCGTATATAAGCGATTGTGGGCGTTAAAGGGGGCGTGGCACCATTTTGAAACAAACTTGCGCTGCGTAGGAACTTCTAAAATCTACATGCAAAATGCCAATCTTCTAGCTTTTACAGTTTCCGAGATCTCAGCGTTCATACGGACAGACAGACAGACAGACGGACAGACGGACATGGCTAGATCGACTCGGCTAGTGATCCTGATCAAGAATATATATACTTTATAGGGTCGGAAACGCTTCCTTCTAGCTGTTACATACTTTTGCACGAATACAATATACCCTTTTACTCTACGAGTAACGGGTATAATTATTGTGGTTACTTTACATTGCCGGGCAGAGCGTATAGATGCTATCTTAATTGACTGTGGGGGTTGTTGAAGTTGAGTCTCGCCCACATTTTAGATGAAAGTTGATAATAATTCCAAGCTGTTCATATTAGGTGCTCATCAGAAGTTCCTTGTCAGTTTCAATAAATAAACGTTAATGAATAACAGCAAGCGAGCTGTTGCTCTCTAAATCACAAAACATCAGTTTTAATTTAAATTTACCGTACGACACTGTATGAGCTCTTTTATTTCATGTTCGAGAACTAGATTTCATTATCCTGATGGCATTATAAATATTAAGATTATCAGATCGCAACAGAACTGCGAAGTATTGTCATTGAATGGGTAATAAAAAGCCATATAAAATCAAAAATCGACTCATTGCCGTTTTTTTTAATCTTCCCTGAAATTGCTATTTGTGTCCCTTTGGGAATTAACTGCTGTTCACTTGTGGCAAATTTGTTCTTCGATCTGATGCAGTAAAAGTACTTACAACGAAATGCGACAAGGGGGTGGTTACCCAGTGACTGACAAACTTTTGAGTGCCTATCTGGGAAAATTTCTCAATCGATAGCATTTAAAATTTCTTCTGGATAATCTTCTAGTAGTGCACAAATAATCTAATTTAATCGTATGATACAAATAAATAACCTTGTATGAAGTCTGCTACAGAAGAACGAGCAAAAATATAATAACAACTATGCGACATCGAGTCTTATTAGATATATATTAAACCTAACAAAGTATGGGTAAAGCCAGGCATACTATTAATTAAATGTTCGTTTGGTCGAAGTAACACAAAATACACCTTTTTTATTTTTAGTTGTTCTCTATAAGTTTATCTTACAACTAGTCTTCTTTTCTGATGAACTTTATCAGCTAATCAATTTGTAAGAGAACTATTTGAGTGAAAAGCTTGAAGTTTAACCCATTATAATAATAAAACTAAATTAAATGTCACAAAAAAGATAAAAGGGTGTCGATGTAAATATATTTACACTGCCGCCAACGGTAGTGACTCAAAAACGCACTTAGGCGGCACGTGACAAACACAGTGCAAGGATAACACAATATAAATAGGACACATTAAGTCCAAACAATAATATTATTAAAATTAGCTGATTGATGTTTTACCAATTTACTTTTTAGATGAGAACCGTGACACAAATATTCATTCCGAAGAAGATGTGAAACGTCAACGCATGGGATACAATAGCGATCAACTTTACCCAAATGTGAGTTTTCAATTAAATTTAAGCAAACAGTATTTTTTTTCTACTCTTTTAGTAAAACTTTCTTGAAAAGTAACCTTCGCTGCGCAGACATTGTATAGCTGTGTGTACAAACACTGGGTATGGTTGAGGGCGATCAATAAACTTGACTTTTTACGTGAAGGATGAGCGTCTATAAGGCTCTTTTTCTTGTCCGTAATTTAATTTTCCAAAAGAAGAAGACGCATTGAAGAAAAACCGAAGCTATTAATGGTGATAGCCCAGAAAGCAGCGAATGTTAAGGCTTCAAAATATTTTTTATTGAAAGACTTTTTTGACAGTACTAATCTAACAAATTTAATGGTTTTTTCTGAGATGACAGAAAACGAATAGATCTCGATTTTAGTGAAGTAACAACTCGTTTTTCAATAATGTTGAGTTGATATAAGCATGTCCGTCTGTCCGTCTGTCTGTTTCTACTCGAACTAGTCTCTCAGTTTAAAAGATATCGAATTGAAACTTTGCACACACCCTTCGTTCCTTTGCACGCAGTACATATGTCGGAACGGCCGGGATCGGCCGACTATATCCTATAGCCGCCATATAACTGATTGATCGGAAATGCCATAATTTTGGTGTTTGTAAATTTAGGAAGTTTGGATTATCTATGGGTTTTTTTTTGGCCAATCAATCCGACTAGCAAATTTCATAGGTATCGGCCGGCTATATCTTAAAGCTGCCATATAACTGAACTATTGGAAATGCCATAACTTTGGTGTTTTTAAAGTTAGGAATTTGGGATTTTTTATGAGTATTAAGAATGCATCATATAAATAATTTTGGAGAATATAATTTACAGAATATTCTGCAAGGGTATATCAACTTCGGCTCCGTCCGAAGTTAGCTTTCCTTTCTTGTTATACCCTTGCAGAGGGTATTATAATTTTGGTCAAAAGTGTGCAACGTAGTGAAGGAGACATCTCCGACCCTATAAAGTATATATATTCTTGATCAGGATCACCTCCTGAGTTGATATAAGCATGTCCGTCTGTCCGTCTGTCTGTTTCTACGCAAACTAGTCTCTCAGTTTTACAGCTATCGAATTGGGAATCGGAACGGCCGGGATCGGACGACTATATCTTATAGCTGCCATATAACTGAACGATCGGAAATGACATAACTTTAGTCTTTTTAAAGTTAGGAAGATGGGATTTTCTATGGGTTTTATTTATGACCAATCAATCCGACCTACCAAATTTCATAAGGATCGGTCGACTATATCCTATAGCCGCCATATAACTGATTGATCGAAAATGCCATAACTTTACTTTTTGTAAAGTTAGGAAGTTGGGATTTTCTATGGGTTTTATTTTTGGCCAATCAATCTGACCGACCAAATTTCATAAGGATCGGCCGACTATATCATATAGCTGACATATAACTGAACGATTGGAAATGCCATAACTTTGGTGTTTTTAAGTTAGGAAATTAAGATTTTTTATGAGTATTAGGAATGCATCATATGAATAATTTTGGAGAATATAATTTACAGAATATTCTGCAAGGGTATATCAACTTCGGCTCCGCCCGAAGTTAGCTTTCCTTTCTCGTTTTAAGGAATATTCATAATACTCAAAATTTGAAATTTTAGTGCAGAGGGTATTAAATGTGCGTTTGCCCTGCTTCATTTGAAGTATGAAAACAATCGACGTAGATATCCATAAGCTGCCACAGAAATTATCGAGTAAATTAGATAATTTCGTAGACATTTTTATGTAATATATATCAAATTTGTCGCTACCATGGCCATGCCATGTTTGTTTACCTTAATTTCGCAATATAAAAACTGTCGGATTCTTTTATTAAGTATTTATTTAGTCGAATGCTTAATCATTTTTCGTCACAAAAGTTTATATCAGAAATTTTTAAAACTTTTTATCTTGTTAAGAGTTGTTTTTGTTTGATATTTTATAGTGTCAGAAACGCATCCTAAAGGTTTTCAATGAATACAATATAGCATTTTATTTTTTGATTTTTTCTCAAAACAACTTTTCTCAAGAGTCATATATCTTCAGATATAGAGGACCAATTTATCCAGTTGAAACTCAAAAAATTCGATGTCATCGATATTTTGTATGGTTAAGAAATGTTTTGGTCTACCAATATATATTCAAAAACAAATATCCGAAAAGTTATAAATCTAACCATTTTAGGATATTTATAAATTTCTGTTAGAGTAGCGCTTTGCGGGGTCCCGTAACTTGTAACTCACACAATAACGTATTTTTTCTGTTATACCGATATATTAAAAATATAGAACTTTTACAAAGGATAACCTAAGTTGATTAATGGTATTAGAAAGATTTTCCCAATGACAGTTTAATTATGCGTACATTTGTGTTAAGTTAATAGTCGTTACAGTAAGATAATAAAGTCCCTCGAACTAGAGAAACTGGCAAACATGTATTTCTTTACTATCTTGGAAAAACTCATTTATTCAATTTCAAAAACACAGATATACAATCGAACGTTCACATCTTAAAAAACCCTCTGCTATTAAATTAGACTAAAGGAAGCTAGGAGTTTTAGAAATTCTCCTTTACTTTCTACTGCCAATAAAACTAGATCGACTTATAAAGCTATGAAGTTTCTGTTATGAAAGTACCCAGGCTTAATCTGGCTGCTTTAAAAAATGTCAATATATAGCTCTCAAACTCAGAAATTAAGTTGCATACAAACTGGTAGGACATTGCTATAGCGACTCGCTGATGCTAAACAATAGTATAAGAGAGTGCACTTTATAGTCGCAAAGTTTTATTTAACTTATGCTTCATTATATTTGTATACTTAAAGATTTGGTCAGGGAAATGGTGCATTAAGGATGAGCACAAACTTCTTGCAGAGCTTGGCAATTTGACAACAAGTACTGGAAACTGCGCAGCCTCATACTATGAGGCTTCAAACGGATTTTCAACAAACGCAATATCTGGAACAGGCCCAACACCATGTGCTAGTGATACGTCTATGTTGTACGATAGTATTGCAACAATTTCGCAAACTCAAAGCTCACTTTATCCACCGACAATCGGACCATCTATTGGTAAGGCATCCTTCCCTCAATATACCAAATAATTTTTGTTTGTTATATATTTTATTTTGAGTATTTTATTTATTACATTTTTTTTTCGTTTTTATTATTTTTCTTTGTAAACTTTACTGATGTAGGAGGCAGTTCGCTTACACCTTTAGTGCCTATAAGCATGCATGATATGAAGCTTAGTGCAAATTCAATACAGGAACAGACAATCGCTCCTTTTTATACAGGTAAGAAAGAAAAGATTGATTTTAGATAAAATGTTATTATCCCCCCTAATGGTTAGAATCACTCTAATATTGCGGTGCAAATAAATATTAAGAGGATCGAAGAAAATGTTTCGCCATTACGAACTGAAACTGGGGAGTCTAAAAGGATCTTGAGTAATCTAAACTTTCTCTATTCCTCTTCTGTACTTTCTTTATTGAATATCAGCAAAAGATTGGAAGCCAAAGATCTTAAAAACATCTTCATTCAAGAAGTCGTATTTTATGTGATTTTAAAATACTGGTCCAATCGTGCTAAATTTTGTATTTTGACCTAACATTTTCCTTAAAATAATATAAAACTTATTTACATTTTTTTGTTGGGTAAAATTATGTGACAGAATATGTCGAAATATGTTTCAATATGTTAAACTATTACAAAATATGTCGTAATATGTAAAATATTTCAAACAAAATATTTAATAATTTTAAAAAAATGTACCATTAATTTGTGTTTAGTCAGAAATTTTTTTTAACAATCCGTCTCAAAGATGTCGTTGCATAAAATCCGAGTCTGTTGAACTCCTTAAGAAGATATCTCAGTGGATATATATTTTCCTTTTTCGATTTGGTCTCGGCACATCTGCGCTCTGAAACTTCCGCAATGTAAACATTAATTTTGGGTATAGTTTAATTCTCTAAAATAAAACATAAAAGAAAGAACAAAACTTACGATTTGTTAAATCAGGTCTATTAGAAGATTTAACCAGAGCATAAGCAAAGTATTTTAAGGGTTGCTGTAAGTTATAAAAAATGTTTAACACTTACTCTGGCTTTCAAAATTAAATGGACTAGAGCTGAAAATTGGGTTTTTCGGTGCAGTTTGACTCCTTGATTAAGAAAATAACACTTTTTATACCCTTGCAGAGGGTATTATAATTTTGGTCAAAAGTGTGCAACGCAGTGAAGGAGACATCTCCGACCCTATAAAGTATATATATTCTTGATCAGGATCACCTCCTGAGTTGATATAGCCATGTCCGTCTGTCCGTCTGTCCGTCTGTCCGTCTGTCCGTCTGTCTGTCCGTCTGTCTGTCCGTCTGTCTGTCCGTCTGTCTGTTTCTACGCGAACTAGTCTCTCAGTTTTTAAGCTATCGAGTTCAAACTTTGCACACTCCCTTCTTTCCTTTGCACGCAGTATATATGTCAGAACGGCCGGGATCGGCCGACTATATCCTATAGCTGCCATATAACTGATTGATCGGAAATGCCATAATTTTGGTGTTTGTAAAGTTAGGAAGCTGGGATTTTCTATGGCTTTTATATTTGGCCAATTAGTCCGACCTACCAAATTTCATAAGGATCGGCCGACTATATCCTATAGCTGCCATATAACTGATTGATCGGATATGCCATAACTTTGGTGTTTGTAAAGTTAGGAAGCTGGAATTTGCTATGGGTTTTATATTTGGCCAATCAATCCGACCTACCAAATTTCATAAGGATCGGCCGACTATATCCTATAGCTGCCATATAACTGATTGATCGGATATGCCATAACTTTGGTGTTTGTAAAGTTAGGAAGCTGGGATTTTCTATGGCTTTTATATTTGGCCAATTAGTCCGACCTACCAAATTTCATAAGGATCGGCCGACTATATCCTATAGCTGCCATATAACTGATTGATCGGATATGCCATAACTTTGGTGTTTGTAAAGTTAGGAAGCTGGAATTTCCTATGGGTTTTATATTTGGCCAATCAATCCGACCTATCAAATTTTATAAGGATCAGCCGACTATATCCTAAAGCTGCCATATAACTGAACGATCGGAAATGCCATAACTTTGGTGTTCTTAAAGTTAGGAAGTTGGGATATTTTATAAGTATTAAGAATGCATCATATGAATAATTTTGGAGAATATAATATCAAGAGTATTCTGCAAGGGTATATCAACTTCGGCTCCGCCCGAAGTTAGCTTTCCTTTCTTGTATTATTTTAAATCACGTTTTTCGCCTGTTGTCAAGCCAAGTTTATTTTGTATCTCGAGTTCTGTTAAACCGATTTACCAGCGGATTTTTGAGTTTATAAAACTTCCATCCTTGGGTATTTAACGTTACCCAATTTTGTATGCTTTTTCAACTGTATGGAAAAGTTTAAGAAAGTTATATTTCTAGAAAAATGAGCACCCAATAACCAATATAACAGAGCAGCGATTACAAAAATGAAATATACTATATGTCGATTTCCATGCAAAAAGCAATGAAGCTAAGTCGATTTTTTGTTAAGTTTGGCGATCGTTTTTATAAAAACTAAAACCGAATTCCTAAAATTGCTAAAACCTACTTCTATATCTTTTAGTATATATGTTAGGAAACTACCAAATTATAATATTGTTTCGCTTTTTTCCGATTGTTCTTATGGGAACTAGATGGTAGAGAAGGTAGATCAGACCCGTTCCGACTTATATACTTGCAACGTTTTGCAAAGTTTCATTTAAATAGCTTTAAATCTCAGGGGACAGTCGGACTCGCCTGGTGATCCTGATCAAGAATATAAGTTCTTGATAGGGTCGGAAATATGCCCTATAATGCGTTGCATACTTTTACTTTCTGAAATTAGAGTACCATCTGCAAGGGCATACAAATGTTCAGTACCATTCTTCATCAATTTTAATCAGGGAGGCCAACTGCACTGGAGAACCAAATTTTCATCTCTAGATTTTCAATTTCTTTTTTGTAAAGTAGAGTTAATTAGAATTTAGTCCGATATACTTTTAATTTTATTGCGTATATACCAGCTCTAGCATTTGACGGCAACTACTCATCAATGGCCAACTTGGAAAACGGCTCCACCTCATCAGTGGAACCAGGAATCATTGCTGTTCAAGAAAGTTCTGATCAGGCTAACCTTTGCCCGATTAGTACTAGGATTGAGCAAGACCACTCGGAAAGTAATAGTAACCGTATTAAGGAGTCCCAGACCAACAGTGATGGATGCATAAAAGAGGATAATAAGGAAACTGAAAATTCCAATTTGGAATCCAGTGAACATATTTCTTTGCCACACCTTCACCATATAACCGAAGAGCAATTGATACGAGGAAATAGACGTCCTCATTTAAATGCAATTACGCACACATCTTCTCTAATCCTTCTGCAACCGAATGGAGGAACCTCGTCACTTAGTGTCAACCCGTCTGACGATCGATCAGACGTTGAACAGAATCTTCGTAATAATGTAGGCCTTTACTCAACACCCACAGTGCTACCCAGTTTTAGTCACTACTCCGCAGGCAAGTTGAAAATGTTTGCTTACACCGCACAACAGAAAAGTATCCCCTAACTTTCTCATTTTTGCACTTTGATCTATTGCACAAAGCCGGTGTTGGGATTCTTAAAAACGAATTTAAAAATTCCTTTAAATTCCAAATATCTATGTTATTTACATTCTCAGTGCTCGTACGGCAAGTACACGAACAGCGCCAACATTTGACTCGATCTAGCCGCTCCCCTCATTCACTGCCATTGTACATTGGACAGTTTCTTAATTTGTTTAAATAACAAAAAACATACAAATTAAAAACATTGAAATTAAGCATTAAGAACAATTAGTGTATGGGGTTTATAGATTCTTAAGATTCTTAAAAAAGAAATTTCTTAAAAATTAAAAAAAAAAAATTATTTCTATATTTAGACCAAGTAGCATAGGGTCATAAATAACTTTTTGTCAATTTTGGCATAAAATAAATAAATAATTCGTTAAGTAAGGCTATAGCCAAGAAAAATAACTGAAAACAAGAAAGGAAGCAAACTTCGGCAAGCCGAAGTTTATGTACTCTTGCAGTTATTACATATCGACTACATTTCGATTTCAATGCATATATAACTAAAAACAACGAAGCTGTGTCGAGTTTGCGCTGCATTTTACCATCGTTTCTATAGCACCTATATGGTATTGTTGCCCGATTTTAAATTAATTAAATCCGTAATTCCATAATATTAAAAAATATTTTTAAATATTTGGTAATAACGAAATCCCAAAAAAGAAAAAAAAAATTTTAAACAAAAACGTTATAATTATTATGAATTTTTTTCCGATTGTTTCTATGGGAGCTATATGATGTAGTCGCCCGATCCGGCTCGTTCCGACATTTATAATACCTGCAATAGATAGACATCTTTTGGGAAAGATTCAAGCACATACCTTTTAGTTTGCGGAGAAACGGACGGACGGACATGGCAAGATCGAATCTCTTGGTGATGTTGATCAAGAATATATGTATATAAAGGGTGTTTTTTTTAGAGGTAAAAAACTTTAAATTTCAATAAAACAACGATGGATTATTCGATTGACATGATTTTTTTTTATTCGAAAGATAATCTTGTGGCATTACATTTTAAATATGATTTCTGGCATATGACCGCCACGGCTGGCTCGGATGTAGTCCAATCTGGACGTCCAATTTTCGATGACTTTTTCCAACATTTGTGGCCGTATATCGGCAATAACACGGCTAATGCTGTCTTCCAAATGGTCAATAACTTTACATAGCCCCACAGAAAGTAGTCTAGCGGTGTTAAATCACAAGATCTTGGAGGCCAATTCACAGGTCCAAAACGTGAAATTAGGCGGTTACCAAAAGTGTCTTTCAATAAATCGATTGTGGCACGAGCTGTGTGACATGTAGCGCCGTCTTGTTGGAAGTACAGCTCCTGGAAATCATGGCTGCTCAATTCAGGAATGAAAAAGTTAGTAATCATGGCTCTATACCGATCACCATTGACTGTAACGTTCTGGCCATCATCGTTTTGGACTCATTCGGGTCTTCCTCAATGCTACGCTCTACAGTAGCAATAGCTTCTTCTGTACGCACCGTACGGCGTCTCTGGGGATGCAAGTTATCAATTGGAGTAAACTTGGTGCGAAAACGTTCCATGGTTAATCGAATTAAGTGCTCTGATGGCCGATTTTGTCGACTATAAAATGGACGTAGTGCGCGATACGTATTCCGCACAGAACCATTATTTTCGAAATAAAATTGCACTATTTGCAAGCGTTGTTCAGGCGTGAGTCTATTCATGATGAATTGCCAAACCAAACTGAGAATAAATCACTTGACAGCTGTTAGATCGTTCTCCATCTTGAATAGTAATGCCAACTTAAAGTTGTATACCTCTAAAAAAACACCCTTTACTTTATAGGGTCGAAAAATTATCCTTTACTGCGTTGCAAACTTTTGACTTAAATTATAATACCCTCTGCAAGGGTATTTGCAAAAAAAGAAAAAACTGTAAAGTAGTGAATAGAAAATTTAAAGTAGTACTTGTATATGGAAACAAAACTATTGTTACATGAATTTCACACTATCGAATATTTCTCAATTTGATGAGTAAATTACTCTTCTCAATTTTATACTCCCGAGTGTATAACTTAAACTTACTTGGCATTCTCATACCAATGCTAGTCTATTTTATATACTATTAAGTATAACAACCAGGAGAAACGCTTTAGTCGACCAATTTCAAAATAAATCAGGAAGCGCCATCTGCCGAACTACAGTGCAAACACCACAAGCTGAGAGGGAACAGCACCCCCGCTCCGCCGATACCAGTTTCGCGCTCTCTTCCGCTTTCTCAAATATATACACACCGTTTTAAATATGCGATGACGTCATAATTAACAGTTAAAACGTTCTATAACTTGTGAAGTAATGTTATTTAGGAGGGAGGATAGATATTTTGGTGCTTTTTGTGACATATTCCGCCCAAAAACTGGCCTCTACGACGTCTTCAAAGGGTTTGGTAATTTGTTGACGTGACAACATTTTGAAATAAAATTGCGCTCCGAGATGTCGATGTCGGTTACTTTATGGGGTCGCTTCCTTTCCTACATACTTTCCATTACTTTGCGACATGTAGTATACATGATACTATCTTATTGAAATGTAAGTCTAGTTTTCATGCCATTTTGTATAACACTTATGTATATTATTTGCTGAGAGCTGTAGTATACATTTTACACTGTTAAGTTTTGTATAGTAATGTCTCCTCATAAAAAGAATGAATTACATAAGTATCTTTGTTTTTGTAGCTTTATTAAATTTAATATACATTAATTCTTATAAATATATTTGAATTTGGTTCTTACTTAGCTAGCAAAATGACTCTTGTATTTAAAATGCTGATTCTCTGTTTATTACCATAAGAATACATAAAACCGCTAAATTTCCAACGATGATGAATATTGCAAAAAGGTTCCCGATTGTCACTATGTTTTATCATTTAAAAAAGGTAATGAATGGTTTTTCCATTAGGATGACTTGTTTGAAAGTAACTAAATTGTTTTTACTTTATCAAAAAAATTGATTGTTTTGCATTAATTGTTTAAAAATAATGAAAACTTTTACTAATGAAAATTCCAATTTAATACAAATGTAATTCATTAGGCACATTTCTGATTTTAAAATGGTGTGGAATTGTACCGTGTGCATAAATGAGCGCTATTTTTATAATTTTTGAAAATTATTATTAATTATCTATCTTTAGAATACAGTTTTTCTTTATTTGACGACTAAGCACCCAAGATGTAAAAATATGAATTATTTTTTTTTCTTGGTTCTCTGCAATATTTTTTTTAACCTGAGACAATAAATAAGCATAACAAAAAACAGAATCGACACAAAATTGTATATCAAAAATCTATACAAGTTCTAAAAATACAAGTTCTAAAAAAGGTTTCCTACCAAGAATAATAAGTTGCTTTGCAGTAAATATAAATTCTTATTATAAAGGTGGCGCTAACATTTTTTAAGTCTTTTTAAATGGCGTCATCTGTATGTGAAATTATGCATTTTAGGAATCACAAAGAGAAAATGGGGAGGCTGGCAACGCCAGGATGGGGAGGGTCTTGAGGGGGGCAACGCTGGCAGTCTTGAGGGTATGATTTCGGTCGGGAGGCTTGGGAGCGTTTCCTGCGCTTTTCTGAGGGTGTCCCAGGGTCGTGGCGGATGTGGGGGAGCGGGGCGCAACTTTTGGGGGGTCTCACGCTGGGGTCCGAGTTCGGAAAACTGAGAAAATGGGGAAAATCTGGTAAAGGTCAGTTTGACGGTCTGGCAGCACTGTATTTTGCACATGGGTAACACACGCGACGGGAAAACTGGTGTATTCGATCACTTTCCACGGAAAACTGATCGCGGCGACCTGCCCCCCACCCCCGTCTACCGTCGACAGCACTTTTTTCTCGCGGAAAATGCGGCGGAGCGGAAAATTTCGCGACACACAGATTTCAGGACAAGGCAGTGTGACCACCTTTGGAATTAACGCAAATATAGGCGCTTTTTGGCCACTTTCGCAAGGCGTCAGGTGTACAAGCACCTCCCACAGGTGGATGATCCGCGCCGGAGAAGCGGGATCTGTAAAAACCTGGACGGCCTAAAACGATTAAGGGATCACGGCAGGTGTTAATTAACATTTCAGCAAGCCGTAGCTGTCACAAAAATTTAATATTGTATAAATGGATTATTGGGAACGACAAAATCATCGGCTTATCCGGCTCGTTCCGACTTTTATACTACCTATAATGGAGACAAGTCTGAGGACAGAGGGACAGAAAGTCATGGGTAGATTGAATCTGTATTCTTTATAGGGTCGGAAATGTCTCCACTGCTACTTTTTATACCCTTGCAGAGCGTATTATAATTTTGGTCAAAAGTGTGCAACGCAGTGAAGGAGACATCTCCGACCCTATAAAGTATATATATTCTTGATCAGGATCACCTCCTGAGTTGGTATAGCCATGTCCGTGTGTCCGTCTGTCTGTTTCTACGCGAACTAGTCTCTCAGTTTTTAAAATATATAATTGAAACTTTGCACACATCCTTCTTTCCTTTGCACGCAGTATATATGTCGGAACGGCCGGGATCGGCCGACTATATCCTATAGCTGCCATATAACTGATTGATCGGAAATGCCATAACTTTGGTGTTTTTAAAGTTAGAAAGTTGGGATTCTCTATGAGTTTTATATTTGACCAATTATCCGACCTACCAAGTTTTATAAGGATCGGCCGACTATATCCTATAGTTGCCATATAACTGAACGATTGGAAATGCCATAACTTTGGTGATTTTAAAGTTAGGAAGTTGGGATTTTTATGGAGAATATAATTTACAGAATATTCTGCAAGGGTATTTCAACTTCGGCTCCGCCCGAAGTTAGCTTTTCTTTCTTGTTTAATATCAATCAGTTGAAAAAAAAGTCAAAATGTATTGAATTAACCTTCGGTGTCTTATTTTGCAGGGGACTTGAAGCGAGTGAAAAACAATAATATACAGTACTGAATGCAAAGATGTGGTGAAAATAAAATTAGGGCAGGCAGATAAGTCATAATGAAAGAGTTGCCCGATGGGTACTTTAAAAATAAAAATAGTATTATGAACAATTTAAATTTTCGTATTGCATCCACATCCTCTTCTGCCCCAAAAACCAGCCCTCCTTTCTTCTTTCCTATCAGAATACAACAGGCTTACTTAGTAAGCTGACTAAATTGTACTCGGATAGATTTCCTTCCCATATAATATTATTGTATGTACATAATCCTGGTTAAGGCCGCATATTCTTAGCTCCAAAATTTTTCCGGGTAAGTACACAATTTACAGGTTTGATCGTCAGTCCAGACGGAGAGGTGGAGTCTTGATTGCTGTCAACTCAACCCTTTCGTCTGAATTACTAACTTTCGAAGAATTTAATGATATCGAATTATATATATTACTTGTTCATATATCCCAACATCATCTCAGTTCCCAATTTACACGAATCACCTTTCGGTTATCCAGTCCATTTCCAAAAAACTTTCAGATCGAGATCAGTTAGTAATATTAGGTGATTTTAATATACCTAGTGGTATATAAGACGAAAACTCTAATATTTTACTTCCTTTAGCGCAGCATAGCTTTATTGACGGCTTGCTTGACATTGCGCTATCCCAAGTAAATCATTTTAAAAACTCCTTAGGACGTTTACTGGACTTGTGTTTTGTTTCAAATCCAAAAGGCGTTTGTCTATTAAGAACATTACCAGCGGTGGATCCCTATCACCCAATTTTAGGGCTGAATGTAGAGGCGGGAACAGAGCTGAATAAAAAAAATCCGAAAAGTAGTGTTATAAAAGTCATATAGCTTGTTGTCGTTGTAGATTTCAGTTTTCACAAGATGAAAAACAGTTTTATAATTTTGTAAACACTTTGCGTAAGTCAGCCTGTTACCGAGCATCGTATTATTTGAAAATTCTAAGGCAAATACTGACCAGGCAATTGCAGATCTAAATGCCCAGTTCTTCCAGACACATATTCTGTTTCATCCTGTCCAAATCAGTGTCATTCATATGCCATATCCTAAGCGAAAGCTCCCTTCTCTTGGATCTCCATAAAGTTAAATCAGTATATTCACCTGGTCCCGACGGAGTTCCAGACTACGTGCTTAGATATTGTGCTGAAACTCTGTGTAGACCTCTGGACAAATTGTTTACCTTATCTTTGGAAACTTCCCACTTCCCACTTATTTGGAAGGAGTCATTTGATATTCTCCTTCATAAGAAAGGAGACAAATACAAGCTATTTCTGAGGTACATCCTAATTATCCGCCATCCCAAAACATTTCGAAAACTTTATTACACCCCAACGAGTCCTCTTTAAAAGCTCTTTCTTGAATTTGATTCGAGTTACTTCAGGCGTCCCACAAGGAAGCCACCTTGGCCGACTTCTTTTAACATTATTTATTAATGAACTCCCTCTAGTCTTGACAAAGTTGGGAGTCCTCTTGTACGTTAAGTGTCCTCATGACGTTAAGTTGTGCCTGCAATATACCAATTTCCTGCAGTTCAGACTTACAATCGGACCTGCTTTGCAAACATGGTGTTGTAAAAATATTTTAGTTTTAAATAGCGGGTGAACCCACGATATGCCACGCGGTGGTTGTGAATTGACTAGCATCACGCATGTTGATGACCTTGGCGTCCTGCTGGACCCAAACATATGTTTCGTGACCATATTACTTCCATGGTGAATAAAGCCAGAATTATCAATAGGTGGTCAAAGGAATCCGATGACTACTAGTCCGTCCAATCCTGGAATACTGTTCGCCCGATTGGAGTGCCAAATTTGGTGATTGATTTTTCTAGGAGCTAGTCGTTTGTAAACAGCATCATGCAGAGCCTTTTAGCAGTATGTTGGATGAAGGATATTCTAAGTCCTTCCAATCCTTAACTTTATATATGTTCTGAAGATCTGGGGGTCGACATTGACTTTTCGTACAATCCTTACGCTTTCCTGGCCACTCAAAGCCATGAATCGTGGTAAAAATGGCTTCTGGGCACCCTTTCCCCAATCTTGACATTCTATTTGCTTGATCCTACTTATTAAATTGTAATTTTTTGACATGCGGTTGATTTTATTTTTATCTTGTAAAGTCAAACATCTTTTCTTTAATTTTAAGGCGCTTAAACAATTTTAGCTATTAAATTAGTCAATATACAATTTCGAGTATAGAGGCAAATGGGATAAATAAAACAAAGCGTCCAAATCGATAAAGTTTTAACAAGTTTTAACACAAGTATACTAATAACTTTGTGCAGGCAAATTTGGTCCATTGTTTGGTTTTTTATAAGAGATAAATTAATGAAGTCACTTGTATTTAACCAAAAATTAATGTTTATATAAAATTATATAGTTATCAGCATATTAGACAAATAAACAAGAAAGAACGCTATAGTCGAGTGCCTCGACTATTAGATACCCGTTACTCAGCTAAACAATTGCAACTGTGTACAATGTAAATACATACATATGTATATGCTTACATACATACACACATACGCCATTGTTTGACTCAGACCTCCAATTTGGCTGACTTGATTTGATTTAAATAGTTCTTGGGATATAGTTCGGTATTGACAAATGAAAACCATTGCAATTTCCTTTAAAAGAAATCCTTATCGAGAATTAAAGTTGACTCTGTTGAGCACCTTGGCCAGCTGTTCCAAAGTCATCCGTTAGATGGCGCTACCACGGGCCATGAAAGGCGGAAATGTAGGCGCTAGCCAGGCTTAAGCGTTTAATGGGTTTTTGGGCGTTAGAGTGGGCGTGGCAAACTTTTATTAGGCCAATCGATATTTATTGACGAAACAAATACATATCAATTAAAATTTTCATAATATCATCAAAACTGTGATGGGAAAACAGTGCGATTAAGTTGAGTTTGTCTAAAATACTTGATATCGCGTAAATATCGTGGACAACTATTATTTTTATTATTGGGAGAGAAATTTTGAATTCATTGCGGCTTTGCGTTTTACGAAACTTTTTTTGTCGTCATTTCTGAGAGTCACAACCTAAACATTTGGAAATATTATTCAATATTAGCTATGTACATTCCTATCACCATATGTGAGGTGAACACTTCCAACACTTCGGCAAGTTTATATACCCTTTTCGATACTTAAAAAAAATAAAGCTCAATTAATTTTCCGATAAATCCGATCCCATCTACGGCAGCTACATCTCGGAGTATATGAGTATGTATGAAGAAACAACGAAGTCATTATTTTATTTCCTTTTTCCGGATGGTTTTTATATGATGTAGAAGGCCGATCCTTACTACTACTTGCAAAAGATTCAAGATTTATTGCAAAGGTTCAACCAAATAGCTTTATTTGAGTGGAACTAGTTTGCGTTGAATGTTGCTCATTACGAGGTCTCTAAAGTGATTTGTGGGGTTTGTAGTCGGCCTGGACGTTCATACCGACGGACAGACAGACAGACGGACATGACTTAATCGTCTCGGCTCCTTCTATCCTTCTACCTGTTACTTATACTTTCCAACGAATACATAATACTCTTCGAGTAACAGGTATAATACGTTTAACCCTAGAGCAATAAAGGTTTGATTATACAAGTATTACAAGTTTCGATTAAAAAAATTTGCAAAGAATGGAAATTATTTTTAAATACTTTTTCAGCTTTTAATTTTAATATATTTACCATTATTTTACAAACCTATAATTTAAGTTTATTTTAGTTAGTAATAGTTAAACAATAATCAAAAAAATATTAGTTGTCTCATTTACAAGTTTCTTTTACTTGCAGGTTGTAGCTCAGTGGTACCCAGCACAGATTACGCCTATAACCCCGCCTATACACAATATGGTGGTGCATATGGATCCTATAGTTATGGAGCTGGGGGAGGCTTGATAAGTAAGTAGTAAAAAATAGTAATTACTTGAGTTGTTTCGTAATGTTTTATTAATTATTGTATTTATTTGCAAAAAAGTAACTACTGCTACTTAGGCTGCAGAAAGCCTAGTACTCAGATCGACAAACGAGTACGCTAGCGTAAAAACTTTAATCTTTCCAGTGTGACAAAAATTTCGAGAGTTCATCAGAATTAAGCGTGCTACGGTCGTACTGTCAGTCAGTTGGGTTTGTTGACAACCAGTTACAATTCAAATATCGTATTTGCGGGAAAGAGCCTTTAAAAGATTTTATCAACTACCTTTATCAACTACTAGCAGACAAAACTGCCCCTGTACAAAGAAATTAAAAAACAATACAATTTAAATTTAACAGTTGTTTTTTTTATTTACTGATAATTATTTGCTAATTTGAAGTTTTTAGCTGCACTTTTATTGTGTCTTTTCGTAAATTTTTACCTAAGAAACATTTTGCTCTGACAAGAGGCACCCCAGATAGTAAAAATGTTATTTTGTCCTCACATGTAAACTCCTGCAATCGACTTTTGCGGGTTTTTTGTTTTTTTCCCTCCATTTTTTAAAATGTTCAGTGAGAAACGCACGCCAAAAGATTAATCGGGCGGATCGGGCAACTATATCATATAGCTCCCATAGAAACAATCGGAAATAAATTTAAAAAAAATATAACTTTGTTGTTTTTAATTTTTGGCGAAGTTTGCTCTTCGACTCTTTTGGTGATGCTGATCAAGAATATATATACTTTATAGGGTCGGAAACGCTTCCTTCTACCTGTTACATACTTTTGCACGAATACAATATACCCTTTTACTCTACGAGTAACGGGTATAAAAATCTACATATAACGTATAAAATTACAATATTGACGGCTATATGTATTTTTTTTTTTTTTCAGACTCTTCCTACTACTACGAGAGCGGACAAGCTCAGACGGCACTAACACAAGACCTCCGTTCACCTTTAGCTGCAACACGAGCGAACTCTCTAGCATCTGCTGCTTCACCAGGTAGCGGAAGTGCGTGCACAAAATCCGAATCCTCAGACATTTTTCTTGTTTAAACTACATTTAAAACAAGGGGAAAGTAGCGCAAAACAAACTTTCGATAACACACCAAAAACCGGACAGATTAAAATACGCGTGAATCACATTTATGCGCCCTATTCATATATACTCAAGTATTTACTTCATTATTTATTGATTAGATTATTTTCTTTCTTTTCGAACTGTTTGATTACTTTTTAAAGAGTTTTAAATTATTTTTAAATGCATTTGACTTTTTTTTTGTTTGTTGCAATACCCCCATTTGCTGTAAAACCACCACCAATATCTAAAATCGACTAAAATGTTTGATCAAATGAAAGTTATAATGGAAAGAATCAAACAATACCAAGTCTCAAATAACCAAAAATGTATGATCAAATGAAAGTTCTAATGGAAAGATGGTTTATAGTTTACAATATGTTAACGTTTGCAATAATAATAAGAGAAGTAAACTACAACATTGTTTAAATGATTCTTTGCTTTCCGTTTAATAATAAGAACGGGTTCTTGCAATAATTAGTAAGCAAAGAAAAAACTCGAACACATAATCTGAAAGTTAATAATTGTTTACATATTAACAGACTTAGTAAATGACACAACTTTTTATACAAAATTGCATTTATTGATAAACTTAAGTTATAACTTAGGAGGCTTAAAAATATTTAACAAAAGGTATTGGTCATAACGACTTTCTTTTAAAGTAATAAAATATAAAAAACTACTCACAAACATACGAAACCAAAATGTCCATTAATGCGATAATCAACCAAAAACATTAAAAGAAAAGTTTTAAAAACTTTTAAAATATTTATTTAAACTAATTTTGTTCAAGCGGAAAAAAAACTCTAAAAATTAATGTAAAAATGTATATAATTAAATTAGTTATTTAATTACAACTAATTAGATTAGCTTATAAATGCACCGAGTTTGAAAGTTTTTAAATCTGTGCACATATTTTGCAAAGTGCAGCAAGAAATTCTGAGTACTTCCGAAAACATATTGAGGTGCACTTTCCACCTAACAAGGTTGAGCAGTTAAAATAATTCATACGGCGTTAATCCACTGTATTAAGATTTATTAATTTAAAATCGTACTTCCCTATTTAAAGCTGCAATTGAACTATGATTTTTGTGTAATCCATTATTTTAGTTATCGTAAAATTTGAGAATTTTTCAATTTTAATGACTATTATTTTGCAATATTTCTTTGAACTTATGAACTTTGAGATAGAAAACTTTGACTGTTTAAATAGAATAATAAACTACACAGGCCAAAAGCAATTTATTATTACTTACAAGCTAGTAGTACGTTTATAAGAAGTGTTTGTAAGTGCGAGCAATTGCAATTACCTATACTTACAAATGGAAAAACACAAAAATCAATTGATGTTTCAACCAGGGAATAAAACGTAATCAAAAATGAACTCCGGTTCCGATATCAGTCCCGTAATACTGATTTGGTAAAAGATTCCAATTCGATTTTAAAACCGATTTCTAATGCTACAGCAACCAAATATTTTAATAATTATTTTACAAATATATATATAAGTAACTTTTTAATTACATAGAAAAACATAAATAAAATATATTATTTGTATGTATAGTTGTACTTATTTTTGCAATCTTTTAATTTACAGTTTATCCAACGTAATAAAAAATAAACAAAATTACACCGGTATTATTATTAGAAACGCATAAAAATAATCTTGATAAAAAGGGCAAATAGTTTACATAATATTAAAAGTATTATTGCTATTACTTTGTAAATACATATTTTTTACATTTCCTGTGAAAATATTTATTTTGTAAAACAGTTAAACTTCTCCATTATTTATTTTTCAAGCAGTTCTTATGTTGCCTTCAGTCAAGTACTGAATACCTTTATTTTTTTAAAGAAAATATAAATGTCTGCTGGCTTATAATGACATACTTATGTGTGAATAGACTAAACCAGAACAATTCCTAATTGTATTGTAATTTGTAATATAATAAATATATCTAAAATTCATGTAATATTGTGTCGTGACAGAAACCTCAAGCAAATAATTTAAAACATGTAGAATTCAATAATTTTTCAAACTAATTTTAAGCTTATGTACTCTTAAAAAATATTCTAGGAAACTAGGAAAAAAAATGTTTAATGTAGCTGGATTTGTAGAGCTAGGTATTTAGGCTTAAGCCAGTTTTAAGTTACCGTTTAGAATCAGAAAGCACAAACCAAATACATAAATACGTTTAAATTTAGATATAAATATGTGTGTATCTTAATAAAATGATAAAAGAATTTATATTTTTGAAAACGATATTTTCAGGACCGAGAATTATTTTTTATAAGTCAGGGTTTAAAATCAAATCAAACAAGGAGTGGCGTTTCGCATCAAAAATATATTTTACAAATTTTACATATATAAATGTAATTTTTTACTTTTTGCACATTGACTCCCAGACCACCTAAAACACATCCACGTTCAAATTTCTACGGGGTCTGTTTAAAAAGTCTAATTTCTTTATAGTCCTGACAGCTGGTTTAGACTTGCACAGAGAGAGATAAATGCTATCGAGAGAGTCAATGGTGGCACACACCAGAACAAGATGATCACTTATCACTGATGAATTTCTTACAATAGTTGTAGTGATTGCTAGATAGCTAGATAAGCGTGCACCACAACAACTCGATCAGTGTTTAGTGATACTTCACCAATCAATGAATTTTGCAACCATTGATGCAAAATTTTAAATACCAAGAAAGGAATCTGATTATGCCATAATCAAGATTTAGGTTCCATGAACAATGAAGTTATGTAAATTTTTTCGGCGATCTTCCGTTTGTTCCTATAGCAGGCATATTATATATGCAGAGGGCATTCTGCCCATACCGCTGCCGTCAATTCTGCTCTTCTGCTCGGGTCTCTTGGAAAATATTAACTTAAATATTTATTTATTTAATGATTAGAGCAGACTCGAAAAGAATCCAAATGGATTAGGGAATAAAATTAAATCCGAAAAAAGGGAGTAGCTCCAAAAAATAATGTATTTATACTAACGGATTTTGAATTAATATTAATCAATGAACGGGAGTAATTCCAAAAAATTAAGATTATAATTATTAATGTAAAAATAGTCTTGTCATTATTAAAAATACAAATTATATACAAATATTCAGATTACTTAAAAAACTATCATATTGAGAATACGACATTTTTTCCTCATCAATTAAATAAAAAACAAGAAAGGAAAGCTTACTTCGGGGGGAGCCGAAGTTCAAATACCCTTGCAGAATATTCTGTAAATTATATTCTCCAAAATTATTCATATGATGCATTTTTAACACTCATAAAAATCCCAACTTCCTAACTTTAAAAACACCAAAGTTAAGGCATTTACAATCGTTCAGTTATAAGGCAGCTATAGAATATATAGCCGATCCTTATGAAATTTGATATGTCGGATTGATTGGCCAAAAATAAAACCCATAGAAAATCCCAACTTTCTAACTTTACAAACACCGAAGTTATGGCATTACGGACATGCTTATATCAACTCAGGAGGTGATCCTGATCAAGAATATATATACTTTATAGGGTCGGAGATGTCTCCTTCACTGCGTTGCACACTTTTGACCAAAATTATAATACCCTCTGCAAGGGTATAAAAATGTCGACCGATCAATGGAAACAGATGTTTGAGATAACTGTGCAGACAGCACTTATCCACCAAGCTCAAGTATTCGAAGAACAAATTAAAGAAATCTCTATACAGATAAATGAGTTAAGAGTCACGTTCCCCACCGTAGAGATGTACGAACAAATATCTATAGTACAAGGAATAAAATGCTTTGAACCTTGACGGTAAGCAGGAACAGAATATTTCGTGGCGACAATCCACCACAGTACAACCATTTAAAGGTAGCTCGAAACAACCAGGCCATAGCAATTATAAGAAACAAATACAACGTTGATGTCTCATGATACTGCAGCTGAAACAGTCCTGAATGAAAAATACGGGAGAGACCCACTGCATAACTTTATTTCGGGGTTGAAAAACTCTTTTAAAATGGGAGCAGTGTATTTGGAGCAACCCTTGCAAGGAATGCAGACGACAAATCGGAAAAACTCCCAAATAAGAATACTAATTTGCGGCGTAGCCAGAATTAAAAACAACAATATTTTAGTCCAGAAAATGCCAGCAAAGGCAGCGAAGCTTTTTACATAAAAATCAGAGTAAGCTACCAGAACCAATAGAAGTTGATCCTTTCTCACGGTACCGGCAGACGAAAAATTCCCGTAAGGGATATAAGTATCAGACAAAAAGTAAATATCACAACTTAGGAACAAGAATACACCGACAGTAAAAAAACATGCTCAGGAAAATATTTAGGATCTCGAGCATGACTTACTCCCAACCGAAGATTGTTATTTTTAGAGCAGAGTCCCTGCTATATAACATAAGGGAGAGCAGGGAATTCGACTTCCATTGATACAGGTGCATCGAAAAATTACATAAAACCTTTGCCAGGTCTGGCACACATAAAAAACATGGAGGAACCTTTTATGGTTTCATCCCTTCATGGCTCCACTAAAATGGAAAAATAATGTAAAATAAACATTTTTAGCGAAAACTCGTATTTTTTACTTTTGAAAACCTCAAGGAATTTGATGGTCACGGCATAGATGGTCTAAATCTTTTAAAGAAATGAAATGCTCGAATTGACCTTAGCACCGGTAGGATTGAACATAATTCAGGCTCATAAGAGCTACAATTTGCTAAATACAAAGTTGTCATTTTTATTACTTTAAATATCGATATCTGCATTGCGGTAAGAAATGAATTTAATTTAATAAACACTGGGGCATTCACAGACCCTAATCAGGCCCTCCCGTACAATATAAATACGATTCCGACTATCTGATTCGACGGGGAACCCGTATTTATACCCGTTATTCGTAGAGTAAAAGGGTATATTGTATTCGTGCAAAAGTATGTAACAGCTAGAAGGAAGCGTTTCCGACCCTATAAACTATATATATTCTTGATCAGGGTCACTAGCCGAGTCTATATAGCCATGTCCGTCTGTCCGTCTGTCTGTCCGTCTGTCTGTCTGTCTGTCTGTCCGTATGAACGCTGAGATCTCGGAAACTATAAAAGCTAGAAGATTGGCATTTTGCATGCAGATTCTAGGAGTTCCTACGCAGCGCAAGTTTGTTTCAAAAAGGTGCCACGCCCCCTTTAACGCCCACAATCGCTTATATACGATTTTAAAAATTTAAATATTTCGGAAAAGTAAAAATGCAGTTTTATTGTGTTTATCAATACCTATCGAAATGTAGAAGAAAATTTTCAAATCGGACCATTCGTTAAAAAGTTATGCGTGATCAAAGTTTCTATCTCCATCTCCCTCGCACTCCCTTTACCTTAGTAACGGGTATCTGATAGTCGGGGCACCCGACTATAGCGTTCTCTCTTGTTTCTAATCTATATCCTTACCCAATGATTTTTCAGAGCATCATCAGAAAATCGCGTTCACCTTAGAACAATCTTGTTTTGGTTGTCAATAAAAAAGGCCACGATGAAAGTAGCAACAAGAAAAAACGTCACCCAGTATTTTCCAATGAGCAATCGACAATGTCCTATAGGAACAAATATCAAAGACATGTATTTCGATGACGTCATCCTCTTCTCAAAAAGTAAAGAAGATCACCTTAAGGATATAAACTGCGTTCTCAAAAGCCTTTACGAAGCCGGCATGAGGGTATCTCAGATAAGTTGTTTTCCCTGCTCTCCTTCAAAATGAGCGTAGAATACCTGGGATTCAAAGTGTCATGCGCAGGACTAAAAATTTTCCCAAATAAAGTAAAGGCTATCAAAGCCTTTCAACCACCTACGTCACTTTATAGCCGTATGAATTACTAGGTCTCTTCAGGTATTATAAGTGTTTAATAAAAGGGTTTGCAACAATCGCAAGACCCCTAACTGAGATCAAAAATAGTAAGGTCAGCGCATTTCATTCAATAAAAAATAAAATTGAGATTTCACCTAAACCATTAGTCATTTGAAAGGCTTACAATGGCTTAAATTCTAGCGTCAGAAGACGTGGTTCTATTGTATCCCGATTTTAAAAACATTTTTGATCTAACAACGGACGCATCCGCGCACGGCTGTGGTCGCAGGAAAATCGCCCAATAACTTGGATCTCCAGAACATTTCGCCACCAAGAAGTACGAAAATTAAACATTTATACTTACCATCAAGCGTTGACGTACGTAGTATGCGAAAAGAATACGAATGCCCAAATAAAACGATGGAAATTTTCTATTGCTGACTATAACGCAAACATTTTCTACAAATAGTCGCCGATGCCCTCTCACGACAGAATACAAATCCCTTACAGGACAAAAAGAAAAGATGCTTCGGCTAGCAACGAAGGTAACACCAAATTGTAATGTTTGCCTAGGCATAGTACAGCCGCCACCCCACAAGGCAAACGAATGTCAAACGCCAATCCCCTCTTATTCAGGAAAAATTCTCCATATAGACATATTTCCAACAGATGGAAAACTCTTCCTTACATATATTGATCAATTTTCTAAGTTCGCTATTGTACATCCGATCGCACCAAGGGCTATTGTGGATGTAAAATCCCCAATTTTAAAGATTGTAAACTTTTTCCTAATAAACAAACAATTTTTTTGCAGAAATATCACGGGCAATAATGAACAGCTGAGCCTGCATTTCCTTTACGAGCTAAGCCTGAAAAATCTCCAACACATCGACCGTCATAAAGAAGAATTTCTAGCGAGCCACTTTTAACCAGCGGTATCTATATATATAAAACTGTTCATTGAAAACTAAGAATCAACGCACAGCCTAAACTAATTAAATGACCCTATTAAAATTTTTTACCATTCAATTCTTATAACACTAAACTGATTTGCTAAGATTTATTTTGGCCACAAACATGCCCCCATTTTCTTTCAGTGGCAAAAAACCCCCAATTTCTATAAAAAATTCTGGACGCTAAACGCGTTAATCAATCGATGCGATTTTTGGCCAAAATTTAGTCCTCTACATAATAAAGATTCTATTTAATTTAATATTCGATATTTTAATGTTTACTATTTTTTATCGATCTTTGAAAATCTAAGAATCTTCCTCATTTTTTCCAAACGGCAAAAAAACACTGATCTAAGTCAATTAGCAATATGAAAATTTATCGAGGGAATCCTGATACTTTAAGGATTCATATGGTGGTTTTACTGAAGCTCTAGGTCAATTCTAAAAAAAGTT